GTCCAAAATCCAAAATACCATTAAGTTCAGACTTAGCTAACTTCGTGCAAGCTATCACTGCTTTCCCATTGCTATATTTCAATATACAACCCATCAATTAATCATGTCTAACTGGATGAACAGTTAAGGGTCTATTAGACGGATGCATATAAACATAATTTAACAGATGTTTTACATATACGCATCGTTTTTCATCAATTTTCTTAAAAATTTTTCATAATCAAATGCATTGTGATTATAAGTAGCAGATACATCTTTCTTCGAATTACAAACACTCAGAACTGCATTCGAAATATACTGAAATTTAGAATGAAAGTGATTATACTTCAGTCAATACTGATGCCTGCACATCAGATTTTACTCTGGTCATTACTTAAGTGGTACCTGAAAAAAAATCGGCAAGAGGTGTAAATCGTAATTAAAACTCAATTAGCAAATTAAAAAAATTGTACCACTGACTCATTTTTTATTAAGTAGCTGAAAGTTAAACGTCACTATGATCATCTTCATCTGCAGCAGAACAAATTACCTTTAGTTTTCGAGAGAAACTTTTTCAGTGAAGGGCATAATGGTGTTTTGACTATGACTCTGAAACGTCGGTGGCCCCTGGGTCTTGATGATGAGACGGTGAATTTAGTTTTCCTGGAAAACAAACGAATTAGTTTACACTGTGAATGTGTAAACAATTTTATTTTTACAATTACCCCTTGCGGACCAACTCTGTGAAATTTGTCACAAGTTTACCGTGAATCTTTAAGTAATTGGTCCGTTGCTGCCATTCGCCATAATTGATTAAGATGAAAAGCTCTTTCGCCTCTTTCGGGGCGTCGACTAAATGAAATACAACGACAGTTGTCAACAACAAGCATAGTCAACCACGTCAATTAACCGGTATTAATAGCATAACCCCGAAAAGGGAAGTGAAGTCGATATAACACCCCTTATCCTTAAAAGGACATAGAACGAAAAATTATCCTGTGATCTTGGATTGATCAAAGTAACCTGACCATGAGGTCGAATACAATAGTATATCTCAAGATCATGACTAAACTTAAGCTCTAAACCTCTAATCAGAGCCAAGGTAAGTTTAATTGCCATTACAATCGAATAATTTAGATTCATTTCCAGCACGTCTACGAAGCGATCAACAACGAACGTTCTAAATACTGATACACATTGGTGAGCGGAATCCCCATGCATTGACGTGTACGTTTTTCATGCTGCCTTTCAGAGTGACGATGGTTCTAATGCTGCAGCTGAGAGGCGACAGAAGATTTAAACACCCACTTTCAAACAAAAAATCTCTTTCTCTCTTCTCGTCAAAAACTCGCAGCCGGCTGTGATGTTTCATAGATCACAGGACGGTATTCTACCTTCGTTCGTTCAGACTTAATGCAAGTCATACAGATGTACCCTCACAAGAAGGCGAGAGATCCAGTATGTTACACAGGCTGTTCAAAAGTCCCAATGTTGTTTTTCTGGATCAGGGCCTGAAAGGGATTAAAACATTGAAGATAAATAGGCCTCATTTGCTTGTTCAAACAATCAATTCATAAGAAAATGCATCTCCTCTGAACAACCTTCTCTGATAACAATAAAGATTCAGACGGCTTACTGGACACAGATTGCGTTTGGAGAGGGGGAGGGTTGGAATCGGTCACGGCGCACTCAATTGTAGAGTAACATTTTCCTTTCAAAAGTATTCTTTCTCCTTCAATGAGCTACCGTTAGTGCTTGACCATTTTGTATTCCCTTTAACAGAATAAAGTTTGCTTACTGTCTGACAGGTCAATCCGAGGCGAGATTTTACCCCAAGTATTGTAATAGAAGTTTCTAACTTGATCGTAGTTTTTTCGGTCAGTCTTCGACTTCTGCACGATGTGCTTTTGAATGGCATCAAAGTCTTTTCCGAACTACAAAAAAATATTACAAAGAAATATTCAAAAGCTTCGCAACTTTTAAAAATTTAACGTTTCTACTACTTCGCGGGAATCATTGAAAAACTCCATTTTAACAAACTGTGATCAGCTTAAGGTAATAGTTCAGTTTTTGGCAGATTCTATTATCCAATCACAAAACGCGTAAAATATGGGGTATTTGATTCCTGCACAGTGGACTGATTGATGCATAATACAAAAAATCAGTCATTAGGCTGAAATCAACATTTTTGTGCCGTTTATAAAAAGCATGCTTTAAGCTGTTTTCAACATAATGTAACACAATAAGACGTTAATTTCTAAATTAGTATAACGATTTTATTTCTATGGGCTTTATTACTACTTATCTGTGTCCCTTATTTAGATTCGTCTTCGAACTGTTAGGTGATTCTGATTCGCAAGGAGAAAAATAAAAGGAGTGACGAAAAGAAGTTTGTTACCGTTGGAATATCGGTCTTCCTTCCTTATTGGGCCATTTTGGTGCCTTCCTTTTCGTGAAGTTAACAGTGCGGGGCTGATGTTCGTTTCTATGCCATCAGCCAGGAGTGCCATATTTTTTAAGGTAGAGTCTAAAGCTATGTGATATGCGTAGCGTACAGTCTCCTGTTTGCTTCCCATAGAGTAGTACTCATTTATCAACCTCAGAAGGAAGAAGAGCGAGCGACCATGCCCGGGGTTTGAACTCAGGATATATCCGTTGTGGGTTCAACGCCATACCGACTGAGCAGCCCTAGTCTGAAGCAATGGTGGTGAAATCCATGCTAAAGGAACTGGCAGAAAAACAGGAAGTCCTGATTTAAACCAATGTATCGAAATTGAGCACTTTGCAAATAGTGATTTACATCTGTACTATTCTGGTCACAATTGGAACGAATATGCACTGAGACTCGCGTTCCTTACTTCCGGTTGGGTGCTGGAAAAATATACTTTTTCTAAAGAAATTAAAGACGAGTTTAATTAGACATTACTAGACGCCAAACTGCAAAATGTTCATGTGCAGCAATAAAACTTCGTAAAATCATGCTGTATCATTCAACAGAGTCGCTCTGGTACTACACTTGGTTAAACTTTCGACATGCCACACCCATACCGATTATGCTTTCTGAAAATGACTGGTTTGCAGAGCATGGAGTTTTATCGCTAAATCGTTCCGTAGACTTATCATAATCTGATCAGAGGATAGATGACTGGAAAGGCCTTTTCGCCAGCTAAACTGTCGCGAACGGTATCTCACGTTCCTGTGTTTGATAAGGTAGCGAAAGTATACTTCTTCTAAACAGAACATAGCTTTAACAAGCACAACGCTTTTCATTAATGATTTTGACAGTTCAAGAGTTTCAGTTCATACCTGCAAGCTTTCTTATGCATTAATGTATCCGCAGTCTCCATACTTAATGATACTATCCGAAATTAGCCCTGGAGGCCGTGAACTAATTCGAAAGTCTCGGCAAATTCGCAGAACTTCGCCAGCCACTTCAACACTCGCGACAAAGGAGCAGGTAAAC